GCACCAAAAAAGAAAGGTCTAATTCATCAGGAATGAGACCAGCCAAGGAATTGTTGACGAAAACCTGTGATCTCTGAAAGCAGTGTCTCTGCAATTTCCCCAAAAAACTGGAAATTTAAACCCTTTCCTTTAAATGCTGTGGCCTTATTCCAGTGTAACCCCCAGCAGAGCCGGATTGGGAAAAGATATATTGCTTTGTAAATGTCTGAGTCTTCCACAATCAATGGTTCCATAGTGGAGACAGAGGTGTTGGAGCTGTTGGTGCCACTGGTTTCCTGGCAGGGTGCTTTCCTCTAAGTGCTTCAGCCGTGTCAGCATCCCTGGGGGCAACTGTATCTTCACTGGTAATAATTCTGATTGCCCCACTGTGGTGCCTCTTCAATTTTCTTGCTCACCTGGACTCTGACTTTTTTTACTGTCAGTAGAGTGAGTGGGGGTTCTGCCTCTCCCTTTTTTTGCGTTGACGGGGGAAGGCGAATGAGGTTATCAACTCTAGGAAAATCTCTTAAGGATTTAATTATCATTGAGGCTAGTCTCTTCCCCTTCTTTCCGGCACAGCTAAGCAGACATTGCCAAAAAGTAGCAAGTTGTGCCATGCCTTGATGGTTGGTGGAGCATTTTAAAATAGTGGAACCATCGTTTACTTTTTTTAGGGGTCTGTAAGTTTTCCAGCGCGTGTGGACGGGCTGCTTTGGGAATATGTGTGAGTGTCCTCGTACCTGTTGCTTTAATTGCTTCCAAGAGATTGTCTGATGAGATGAAATCTGTTGGAGTGGGTTTCAGGTGCCTGAGGTGGCTCTGGATCAAACACTTTCCCCCAGGAGGACATCCTGAACCAGGGCAAAATACCGTGTTTGCGGAGGAAACCATTAGAGATGAGACAACGAAGCTGTAAGCATGACCTACACTTGCCTCTCCTAGTATTGCCAGCCGTGCCATTTCCCTGGCTGCTTGCTTCCTCCTGGTTGGCATCCATCTGCTGTGTTGCTACTCCCAGCAGGTGGTACATGTTCTGCTAGCAACACCTTCCTGCCAGTAATGTATCCTTGAGGACACAGCCAGCCAACACATTTCAACTCCTTTTACATTTCAGCTGCACTTCCCACCGATGAATCTAACCAGGAGTCTACTGGTAGGGATGCGTCTGTTCTTGTTGCCACCTCCCTAAGAAGCCCGGGAGATAACCTAAGAAACCCGGAAGACGACATAAGAAGCCCAGATAGCTAGGTCAGGAGCCCAAAAGACTTGCACGTATTGACACTTGATATATATATATATATATATATATATATATATATATATATATATATATATATAATATATATATATATATATATATATGTCGTGCCGAATAGGCAGAACTTGCCATCTTGGCTTAAATAGCAACGCTTATCTTGCCATACAGGACAAGTGAAAATTTGTGTATGCAATAATTTCGCCAAAATCATTCTGAGCCTAGCGAAAAAAATACATTTCACTGTGTTTGTTTAGTATTAAATTATTGTAAACAAATCTAAAATATATTTAGTTGGGTTAGGCTAAAATAAATTGTTCTTGTTATAATAAGGTTAGGTAAGTTTTCTAAGTTCCTTTTGGTGCAAAATTATAAATTTTTACATCAACATTAATGAAAAAATATATCTTTAAACGTATAAGAGAAAATTTTAGAAAGGACTTAATTTTAAATGAGTTCTTGCTAATTGACCCGTTTTACATATTCGGTACGACATATATATATATATACATATATATATATATATATATATATATATATATATATATATATATATATATATATATATATATATATATATATATATATATATATATATATATATATATATATATATATATACCTTCATATGATAACCCTATACTGCACAAATATGACAGTATCCTGAGGCAGATTTTTTACGAAAATACTTAACCTTACTCTAGAAGACGGGCAGTAGAACCAAGCTACACTTCCAGTCAGACTAGAAGGCATTGGTGTCCGCAAGTCATCACAGATTGCACTCCCTGCTTTTCTGTCCTCATGCGTTGCATCCAGAGGGCTTGTAGCAGTGATTCTCCCTGAACATCTTAGGGACAAGATTGGAGTCCAGGATCAAAAGTTCATTGACGGAGCCATGATCTGGGATAATCTAACAGGATCTGAAACCAGACCTGCTCCCCCCAACAACTACAAACAGTCGCACTGGGATGACCCGATAGTGGAGAAAATAGCCTCAACAATGCTTCAGAGTGTGTAAGGGAAGGATAGAGCCCGCCTCCTGGCAGTGAGAGCCCCTCATGCAGGGGACTTTCTGTTGGCTGTTCCCAACTCCAGCCTTGGCACACGCCTCGACCCACAGACCATCCGCATTGGTGTTGCCCTTCGACTTGCCGCCCCTATTCTCGCCGAACACAGGTGTATTTGTGACAGTGAAGAAGCAGACCGATTCGGGTACCATGGTCTTGTGTGCCGTAAATCCGAGGGAAAGATTGCAAGACATGAGGAGGTTAATAACATTATCAATAGGAGCCTCACAACAGCTGGATGCCCAGCAGTAAGGGAGCCACCCCAATTATGCAGATCTGATGGCAGCCAGAAGCGTCCAGATGGTATCACCCTTCAAGCCTGGACGGATGGGAAGCAGGTGGTGTGGGACTGTGAGGGAAAAGTTCAATAGATAGGAGTAGCGAGGGAGTGTATAGTAACAATAGTTTCATTGCCGGCTACTTGTTAAGGTAGGGTAAGTCCAGCTCCCGCTATCCCCCCCCCCCTCCTTTTTTCCCCTCCCCGAAAGTGATAGTTTGATTGCCGGCTGCTTGTTAAGGTAGGGTCAGTCTAGCTCCCGCTATCCCTTCCCCTCCCTCTTCTCCTCCCCCCCCCCCGAAAGGTGACGTGTGGGGCTCTGGTCAAACAGTAAATCACTCGACTCACAGCTCCCAACACTACTGTAAGTACACGCCTGATCATATTTTAGTGGACTTATTGGTTGAAAGCTTCACTTTTGCCAATAATTAACTTAGTCCTTTCAGTCTTGATCGGTTAAATGTTTTAATAATCACCACATCTTTTAGGTATTGTACTTATCATGGAGAGTGATTTCTTAAGCAGTGGGTAATCTGTCTCTCTTTACAGCTTGGAATGACAGAGAGGGTCACCTGCCAACCAACGAGAAGAATAGAAGGAGACGGACTAACGTCCTGAGACGTCCCATGTTTAATCTACTTACCTGTTATGTAAGCCAACACAGGACCTAACCCCTCATCATAGCAGTGGTAACGAACCTGTTTTCCTGTCATCTGAAGTAATTATTCACGGCTACACTTTGTGAAGAACGAGCTGGTGGTGGTCACCAACACCTGCTACCCCCCCCCCCACATCAGCAACGGCTACGATTTCAACAACACGCAGTGTCACCAACACCTGACACCCTATTACCACGATATACCTATATTAGCATTGAGTTCAAATGTAATTTTTTTCATTTCATTTTTCATTTTTCTTTCAATAAGGATACCCATTCATGTTTTATTGTTTTACATTTTCCGTTTCTAAATAATAAAGTGCTTATCATTGTCTGTTATTATTTCTTTTTCTATTCATTAATTTTCCTGAGGAGGAGCCAGCCTTGGTAATACTGACTGAAGTTGTTACAGGGCTGAGTAAGCCTTCACAGGGACTATACATGTGCATCTACCTTGGCTGATACCTACCTCCAATACACCAGGGAGGAAGGAGGGGACAGCTGCCAGCTTCAGTGAGTCCCAAGAGTCTAGAAAATATGGAGAACTTGCCCATCATTATATGTTTGTTCCCATAGGCTCAGAGACCCTTGGCTCATGGGGAAAGAGTGCATCTAAATTCCTTAAGGAGCTGGGAAAAAGACTCATCAGGGTAACTAGTGATCCCAGGGCAGCTAGTTTTCTGTTCTAGCGACTCAATGCGGCTGTTCAGAGGGGTAATGCCTGCTGTATTTGGGCACACACCCCAGATCTGAGGAGCTGGATGAGATTTTCGCATTATAATCAGTGACAATATGTACTAGACATGTATCTCTCACATTTCATGTACTGTATATGCCATCTTTATATCAACAATTTATCTCTTAAACCTTTCGTACCATATTATGTAATAAAATTTACCTATTGGTAAAAAAGAATGAAAAGATGGGGTGGTAGGGGAAGTGGAATATTCAAATGGCTTCAGGAAGAAATCCAAATATTCTTCCTTGAAGCCTTTTTATCCACTTCTTCGAGGCTGTGGGTCCCATAATTTACGCCAGAGGTGGACCCCATTATATATATATATATATAATATATATATATATATATTATATATATATATATATATATATATATATATATATATATATATATATATATATATATATATATATATATATATATATATATATATATATATATATATATTTATACGTGTATGTGTACGTGTGGCCCGTCGTGGCCTGGTGGCAAAAGCTCTCACTTCACACAGTGATTGTCCGAGTTCGATTCCCGGCGAGGGTTGAAGTACTGTGCGTGTTTCCTTACACCGGTTGTCTATGTTCACCCATCAGTAAAATGGGTACCTGGGTGCTAGTAGACTGGTGTGGGTCGCATCCTGGTGCAAAACTGGCCTAATTTTCCTGAAATGCTCTGCATAACAAGCGGCTTTCTATATAGCAGTAAATCATTGATGTCAGCTAGGCCTTGTACAAGTACTTGTTGAAATAAAGATATTAATATATTATTATTATATGTTATGGGTTAAATAGGCTGGTGGTGTTAACGCCGAGTAACTTGTTTATTGTGAAGGATTATTAAGAAATTCCTCGTTATGCCGCCGCGGTGAGTTTCACAAACTTTTGTTTTGTTTAGATTTAGTTCATGTTTACAAACTAACGAAACTCCCTGACGAAATACTCTATAGCCGGCCTGTGATTGGTGGATTGGGGATGTGCAACGCGGGACTGGCCGTTGTGCACCCGATTTAATCAGACAGGTGATAGGCTGATACCAAGAAGAGGTACATTAGTAAGTAGCACGTCTGCGAGGGCTGTGTGACACTGACACAGTAGCTGACACAGCAGGTGATCAGCCGCGGGCAGCCGACCCTCCTGGCCAGCGTAGACTGTGGCGGTGCCTTTCTCTGTCTCACTCCCGTAGACGAACCTCTCTTCGTTAAAATTTTGGTGAGTTGCTTTATTTTATCTTACGAATTGTGTTTCTGAACTGAGCAAAAGATCCGTATAACAGTGTAGCTTGAGTATGATAACAGACAATACTGAGTGATGGTACATGAGAGGAAAACTATCCTGTGTAGAGAGAATGACTGGATGACTATTCTGTATGATGGAGTATGACAGGATGACTATCCTACGGGATGGAGTATGACAGGATGACTATCATACGGGATGGTGTATGACAGGATGACTATCATACGGGATGGAGTATGACAGGATGACTATCATACGGGATGGTGTATGACAGGATGACTATCATACGGGATGGAGTATGACAGGATGACTATCATACGGGATGGTGTATGACAGGATGACTATCATACGGGATGGTGTATGACAGGATGACTATCATACGGGATGGTGTATGACAGGATGACTATCATACGGGATGGTGTATGACAGGATGACTATCATACGGGATGGTGTATGACAGGAAAGATACAACACATGAACAATAGCTGGGTATGCTTTTGATGAAACGTATCGGCTACACGGTAGGCTTCTTCAGTCAAATACAGAGGAGAATAAATCTTGAGACATCAGCAGCAGTGGCGAGATAAAGATAATGTGATCAGTCCACCAACCTTGAAGAAGCAAGAACCGAGGTGGTCAGTGTGGAACAATGTGAAGCTGGTTCAGGTTCGTATAGGTTAGCAGGACGGGTCCTGGCCCAGGTCTTCTCTTCAGTCCAATACAGAGAATAACAGAAGATGATAAGTATGAGGTAATGACATCGACTCCAGGCTGAGGAACTGACTGCCTCACACCCCTCCCCCTCATCTTCCTCTGTTATTCTCTGTATTGGACTGAAGAAGCCACTGGTTGGCGAAACGTTCCCTCAAAATTCCCAAATGTTGCACAGATGTCTCATTCTTCAAATGTTTTGCATTCTGGCTGGATTTCTTTTTATACATTTCTGTCCAGTAAGTCTAATCGTTCTTATTTCTATAAAATATAATTTTCCATGTGAATGAAACAGACAACATATGAGATTTTGAACAATATTTTTTCCCATGGGTCACTTTATCTGGGTGGGACACGAAACAAGGACAGAATTTGTTCACTCGGAGAACAACAATAATGAAGACCACAGACAGTGGACCTCTGATGACTGTGCTCTCTTGAAGGAATTTCTAGTCAAGGTTTATAAATCAGATTTGTAGAGTGCAACTGAATGTCCTGAAATAAATAGGGCACGGTGTCAGGCAGGTGGGAATCACGGTGTCAGGCAGGTGGGAAGCACGGTGTCAAGCAGGTGGGAATCACGGTGTCAGGCAGGTGGGAAGCAGAGTGTCAAGCAGGTGAGAGGACAGGAAAGCGTTGTCAAAACACGATATTTTAATTCCATCTATGCTAACTAGAATACTAAGACAAGGGATCAACACTCACTACATCCTACAAGGTAATGAAGGGCAGCAGCTATACTCATTTAATTGTACTCACCTAATTGTGGTTGCAGGGGTCGAGACTCAGCTCCTGGCCCCGCCTCTTCACTGATCGCTACTAGGTCCTCTCTCTCCCTGCTCCATGAGCTCTATCATACCTCGTCTTAAAGAAATGTATGGTTCCTTCCTCCACTACATCACTTGCTAGATTATTCCACTTCCTGACAACTCTATGACTGAATAAATACTAACATCCCCTTTGAGTCATCAACTTCCAATTGTGACCACTTGTTTCTGTGTCCCATCTCTGGAACATCTTGTCTCTGTCCACCTTATCTACTCCACGCAGTATTTTGTATGTCGTTATCATGTCTCCCCTAACCCTCCTGTCCTTCAGTGAGACAATAACGATTAAATGGCATAGTAGAGTGGAACAAGGGAGAAGCTAGATAATGGTGAGTGTGGCATGCTGAGTGGGAAGTGTCATTCGGGAGACCTGACAGGGAAGGTGGACGTTCGTAAAATACTTTCCAGAACGTTGTCATGGCTCCCCATTAAAGGATATTCTTTACAGAAAAATAAATTAAATAAGAATTATCCAACGTGGATTTATGTAAAACTTAGACTGTTGTTGTACACACACACACACACACACACACACACACACACATACACACGCATACACACATACACACACACACACACACAAACATACACACACAAACATACACACACACACATACACACACGCATACACACATACACACACACACACACACAAACATACACACACAAACATACACGCACAAACACACACACCACACACACACACACACACACACATACACACACACATACACAATACACACACACACACACAC